TCAGCTGGTGCCTCCTGAGCTGGAAGAGTAAAGCGGACCTGGGACTGGATACAATTTAAGTTAACCGCACTGAAGTCCTCATTTTATTCAATCGTAAAAAGTTACTCATGAATTTTCACATTGATTGCAGTTAGAAACAAGTGCAGGTAAATGTAACCTGGATCCCACCCATCATGCTGGGATCATCCAAGATCATTTCCTCACTCCTTCTATTTCCAGTGTTCAGAGGCAAGTGTTGTTCTCCCTGCAGTCATAAGGACACCATCGGCATACAGGGGAATTGTTGCAGGCTCAGGGAAACCACAAGGTTTGCAAAGTTAGCTATGATTTTCCATATCCACAAGATCTCGTCCTATGCAACAGGCTAACATTAGTATGCATTTGGAACTTGTCACAAGGTTTGGGGAGACATGAAAAGTCTAGGGGAAGGGACCCCAAGGGGAAGGGGGAGTCTTAAGGACAACCCAGTGAGAACTGAACATATGGGGGGGGGAGAGACAAGGTAAGTGGGGAATCAGATGCTGACTACAACTCCCAGAAGCTTTCACCATCACCTCTGCTGGCGAAGATTTCTGGGAGTTGAAGTTCAAGAACATCTGGAGGCCCAAGGTTGGGGATCACTGCTCTAATCCCCCATCAGGCTAGACCGGTAATGGCTGCCATTGCACCCCTCCGCTGGACCACTGCACCAGCAGAGGAGAGTGCCAAAATCTGGGACTGGAGGGCAGCTAAGTATTTCTCGATGGCGACTTGTGGCCCACATGCCCACAGAAAGGGCTCTGGCACACGTGTCATAGATTCTCCATCACTGGTCTAATGGAATGTCTGGAAATAAGAGGGTAACTCTGTATCTACAGAAATTGAACCTGGATTTTTCTGAATGCAAAACAGGTGTTCTGTTACTGGCCCAAACCCTGTGGCTTATGATATGAACAGAAGTCAAGTTCAGAGCAGTGTTGAGGACTTTGCAGCAGTATGCATATCATTGACTAGATCCATTGATGTAGGGAGCACTTTATTTTAAAATTCAGTGCCAATAATCCTGTTAGTGTACCAAATTGCACTAGAGTAGACCCATTAAATCTGGGGATCTGGTGAGTCATCTTCATAAATTCCATTCATTCAAATGGGGCTACTCTAATTGCAATTTACTATGCTAGATTAAGTCACAGGGTCCATTTGAATTAAGGACTTGAGTCACCAAATCGTCACTGATTCAATGGGCCTACTGTAGTGCACTTTGCTATACCAAGGAACAGAATTTTAGCCAATGACAGTCCCCCAACTCCTCTATAAATCACTGAACCTCACACCTGGAATTCTTAGCTCTGTCACATGGCCCTGTCCGGCTTTCATGTGTCTGTCTCCTCTCAATAGCTGTGTGAATCAATGTACAAAGGGATTGCAGAAGGTCTAAAAGGGATCTGCTGGGCACTGAAACCTGATCTATTTCACCAAGCTTTCCTGGCAACATTATCAGCCTGATACTGTTCCAGATCTGTATAATTAGGATATCCTCTCTTTAGATTTGAAAACATGTTGTAAAATCACAGAACAGCATCTTAATAGTCAAGCCCAGTGTTTAAATTTAGGCTTCAGTTTCATTCCGTCAACTTCTTAATTCAGTGACATGCAGCCTGGCAGGGGCTTGCGGAAAAGGGAAGTAAGTTCTGGGGAGAGATAGGACTACGTAAAGATCACAAGAAAGGACAAAATTCCAGCATCTGGGAAAGAGACTGATGATGATCTTTAAAAAAAACAGCAACTTTCAAATGGCCAAGGAAAGTTCATTAGCAGAGACTTCTTTTTATGTGCTAACAAGTTGCTTCTGATTTATGGGAAACCTTTTAATTTGTGGCCCCAAAAGGATCCAGTCATTAACAGCCAACCAAAGACCATGGCTTCTTTTGGTGATTCAATCCATTTCATAGTCAGTCTTCCTCATTTCCTGCTGCCTTTACCTTTTCCCAGGATTATTTTAGTTTCTAGTGAGTTTTGTCTTCCCATAATGTGCTCAAATGCTTCTAGAGAGATTGTGCTCAGGCTTGATTTGATTTAGTACAGACTAATTTGTCTTTCCAGCAGTCCGTGGCATTTGTAAAGCTCATATCAAACACTGCATTTCAAATGAAGTGAATTTCATCTTGTCATCTTTCACATCCATAAAGAATACCATTATATGGATGGTCTTGTTCTTGGTCTCCAGTAACACATCCTTATGCTTGAGAATATTTTGTGGTTCCTTCTTAGCTGCTTTTGTGAATCACAGTCCTCTTCTGATTTCTTGGCTGCAGCCTCCAACTGGACTGACGGTTGAACCAGGATGTAGAAAGTCTTGTAACAATTTCACATTTCTCATTGTCATTGTGAAAGTGTTGTAGAATTAACTGTGCTTTTGCATTTTCTTCTACCTTCATCAGGAATAATCTCAAGTAATTGCAGCTTTCTGCTGGTAATATGGCATCATCTACATATTTTAGACTGCTAGTGTTTCCTCCACCAATTTTCACTTGTCCTTCATCTGAATCTAATGTATCTTTTTGTATGATATGCTCTGTATATAAAGTAAACAGATTGCAGAGACTAGCAGATTAGGTTACTCAACTAAACAAGCAGTTTATTCCTTCTTGTCTCTTAGGAGCAGCTAATAAAAATACAAGACCGGTTTGGCAAGCTTTGGTAGCGTCAGGTCCCTGGGTGAGGATTGTGAGGCTGGGTCATTCACAGTATAGTATGAAAGTGTTAAGTACAGGTGAACTTCTACTAGTCTTAACCTGCCCCCTGGTGGCTGTTTGGTACCTGGGATTGCTTTAAGAGAGGCTTGGTCCCATTTGCTCATTTGGCCTGGGCTGAATTTTGCACCTGGCTTTTAGAGTCCAGCTTCTAAAGTCATTGCAGATTCATGTCCTTGAGAAGATAAGGAAGTTATATGTGTTTGGTTTTCTGAAGCACACTTGCTAGGATGTTTTTATCTCTGCATTTTGGACTCTCTGCTGATCTAGCTTAGTCTTCATTGTGTTTTGGAAAAGTGGGAAGAGTGAAAGCTGACCTTGTTACATTTGGATCCTTGTCAAAAAGGTTAATTGAGAATGTTGTTTAGTTTGAGGTGGATCACTCCCTCTAGAGAGAGCAGTTGAGATTTCTTATCTTTTTCTGTGCCTTTCATAATGTTTTGAGTTTTCCTCAGACTCTTTTATTTGTGAGGATTTTAAGATACCAAACTGGAGTACCTCTGCCCCACTGCAAAGCACTCAATTTGCTCTTTTTTGGTGCAGAAGTGCCAATAGCAGTGGGGAAGAAAGTTCTTAAAAATCATGTAGGTCACACATGCTCAGGCCTGTTTTTAGCAATCCTTGGCCAAATAGCTTAACATTTGGGCGATGAGGTTGGGATCCCCAAGAGGTATTGATTCATCTTCCTGGCAGAGGAGACAGAACTCCACCAAACAGCTTTTGGAAGATACACTTAAATGACTTCAGAAGGTCTTCCAGAGGGCACTTTGGTTTTTGAGGCTACTTGCTTCAGTGTAGGGCACAATCATCTTTGTGAGCCCTTCCAACAGATGATGGTATCATAAACAGCATCCTCCAGTCCCTCAAATGTCAACCAACTGTAAATATTTGTTATTTATATTATTATATTTTACATTTGTTAACTTTATTTTCTCTGTTGAAGTCAAGCTAGCATATGTGGTCCTCCTTAGACCAATTTATGGCCAAGAGAGATTTCAGCGTCAGTCTCCAGAATCCTAGTCCAGCCACTGCTCACCATTGGCTTTCCATCTGCATCTGTGTCAACAGCCCTAAAGGGACATACCCACCCACCCAAAATGCCTTCAGAGGAACAAATGAAAACAATTCTCTTCTTTGACTTTTTTTTTGACCCACTCTTCTCCAAAATAGAAAAAAAAAGTCCTAAGTCTCGTATCACACAGTTATTTGTTAAGTGATGTTCTCCATTCCTATCCAGTCTCTCCTCTGATAAGATCAAGGTGTTTTCCCTCCCCACTTTTTCTTCCCAAGAAGTCTGTGAAGTATTTTAGGCTGGGGGGGGGGAAGGGGGAGAGAAAGAGTATGCACGTGTGTGTGACTGATCCCAAAGATTTTTTTTTTAAAAAAAAGCTCAGTGAGGCCCGTTCTAACCACTGACCAGATACTATTTCTGTCCTTCAGTTTTTGTAAAAATACCCAATGCACTATTTCCCACAGTAGCCAGCCAGATGCCTCTTGGGAAGGCCACAAAGACGACAAAAGGGCAGAGGTCCTCTTGGGCTGCTGTTCCCTAGCAACAGCAGTGTTCAAAGGCACTTTACCTCTGATCCTGGAGGTAACATGACTGGTACCCATTGGTGAATGCATAATTTATAAGGTGAACTGGGTGTTTGACTAATCTCTCCTAGTGACCTGTTCATACTGAAATTTTCATCCACAGAGACTGACAGGACTTGGGAGACCAATAATATGTGGACAGCAACACATTCATAATCACTGCCGGAGGGGGGAGACAAGCATGCCCATCCAATTGAGCTATCCTTATCAAAAGAGTAAAGCCAAGGAATATTTTCCCATAACTTCAGCTATTATCTAGAAAAGACTATTCAGTCTCTGACTGCTGTTACCCAGGTAGAATAGGACTACTGTAGAAACAAAAACCCTCTACATGGATATATGCAGAGAAGAGATTAGGGTAAACCACAACTTCCACCTTTCTGTATGTAGCATTTTTTCTAATGGGACAGCATTTCATTGGGAAGGCTCTTACACCTTCAGGGTCAAGTAGCTGAAGCCAAGAGCAGCCTTCCTGTGCAAAGAGGTAAGAATGAGAGTGGAAAACCAGAAATACTATGGCTGTTTTGCAGATTCCAGAAACAATGCAGAATTATACCAAACATACATCAACATGGCTTTAATTACTGAGTTTATTTGCACATTGAAAATAGTTATTTTAAAAAAAAATGGACCAGTGCAAACATTTATTTCTTGTGTCCTTCCTTCTGGCAGGCATCCTGCAGTTTGTTGAAATCATCGTCAACATTCTGGTGTTGGTTTGCATCGGAGCAACCCAGGCAAGCATCTCTGGCTTCACCTCTATGGGAGGGCTGGGCTCTTTCAACCTCAACTCAGCCTATAGTCCATTTGAAGGAACTGAGCTCCAAGAGGTGAGGGAGCTAGACATGCAGTACAGCCAAATGAGAGCACCTTGTGTGTACGGAGGTGTAGCGTTCAGCCTGACCATGACTTGCCTGACACTCCTCTTCCTCGTCAGTGGAGCAAAGCCTCTTCCTCGTCTCTCAGCCCGACTACTTGCTGTAGAATTCATCTTTGACGTTGTTGCTTCCCTTGCGTACATTGTGGCCGTTGGCCTCTACCTCCACTTTGTCATGGAAGTCAATGCAACGGATGTGTGCAAAAGGAGGGAGAGACTGTATGCAAGAAGGGGCTATACATCAATGAACTGCAGCGTCCAGGGTGGAGATGCATCAGTGGCTCTCTTTGGCCTGGTGGCCGCTTGCCTCTATTTTGCAAGCACAGTGGTCTGTGCTCTCACCGTTCGGAGCCTGCGGGAGTTTCAGAGGCAGGAAGCCAAGATTCATTACAACCTTGACAGACCTTTCAGAGAGAGAGAGAGAGACCGTCCCAAGACCTATCAGAGCCCAGAAGTCAACCGTGCTGCAGGCACCTTTGCCACCCTTGTGTAGTGATCAAACTAGATTTTAGTTTGCAGAGTTGGCTGGTAACAGTAGTTTACTCCTCTGTTTCAAGGAAGAAACCAGTGAAAAGAGCCACTTTGGAAATGGATGGTTTTTGTGGGCTGCAGTCTGTAGCCACGTGGTACTAAAAATCAGAAGTGTATCTTGAAAGCAATCAGCTCCTAAAAGCAGGCTGAATTAAGTTTTAAAAAAAAACACCATACATTTGAGCAGGTTTCCTTGTCCTGTGCATTTTTTAAAAAACTAATTCTTATAACTGGCCAACCTGTCCTTTAGCTTGTCTTCTGAGATGAGGGGAGGGGGTCATGTAGCTCACCAGTTACTGTTGTACTACTTGTTGTACTACTACAGCCACCATCTGCGAGCCATGCTAACCCGACTGATGGCCATCGGGAGTCTAGGTGCACTGAAATCTCCTGGGACATGCCATAGTGTGGGGCCCAGGAGGCTATGAGGATAAAAGGGAAACAATTAAGACCTGCTGAGGGGAGCTGTAAATTGGCACCTTAAGGTATGTTGGTAAATGATTTGGGCTTAAATAACTTGGTGGAGCAAGAGTAGACAACTCACGATTCTCCAGATTTTGCTGGGCTTCAGTTGCCACCAACATGGCCAATGGTGAGGAGTGCTAGGAACTGTAGTCCTGTAGCTTTTGGAGGGCAGTACTTTGTCTACTTCTGTTATTATATCCAGATATATAATAAGGGATGGCTGGATCCAGTAAGCTTAAAGGTTAGAAGAAAAGGAAGAACCAGTGACAGATGGCTTGCTTTGAACATGCTCTGCTTTCAGGGTGATTCTCCTTTTGAAGGCCTTCTTACTTGACCAGTCCAAGTCTAGAGCAAAGATAAAAAAAACACTGAGACAGCTGTGAACACAGGTTACTTAGTCACAATCACAGAATAAAAACTAGATTTGCATCTGTTTATATTAAGATATCAATTACCATACAAATTTGCATGCTATCTTTTGGCAGTGTGTTAAATGACTGCCATATCTGTTTTTAATCCCACTCTTCAGGAGGAGATTGCAGAGGCTGGCTAAAGTGCATTTGGTTCAGTAATTTTTCCAGCAGTAGGCAGATGTCTCTAGGCCAGGTTAATAGTGGCAACTACACCATCTTCTCCCCAACAAAAAAACAGCACTCAAAATTTGTGAGCGCACGCCGACAAGTGCCACAAATCCTTCTCTGTATTTGCCCATAATCTCACCATCACCTACGCTAGCAACCATCTCAACAGATCAGATGAAGAAATAAAAATCTCTAATTTAAAATTATGCTGTTAGCTACTCACTGGTTAACTAAATGTTAAAGGAAATTTATTCCTCTTCAAGTTATGCTATGGTACCAGGACTGTATCAGATGGAGAAAGATGCTAGATTTATTGCATTACCTGTACAGGAGTTATGCTTGGTTCTAGGCTTCCACCGAGTAGAGAAACACCAAATTAAAAAGGCAGCCATGCCGGTCCATGAAAAAAAGAAAGCATAAACAATACTTCAACATATTTTAACTAAACAAACCACACAAAATCTTGGCAGTACAAACATTCTGCAGAATTCTAAAGCTTGAGCATTTTTGTTGCATGTGGGTTGATCCTAAAGAGGCAGGTCTCTTAATGTGTATTTCATGCCATCTTTTATTACCTGCTCTCCAGTTTTTAGTTGCCATCACAGTACAGGAGACAACCTAATACAAAGCACATTTTTTTTGAGAAACTGTAATTTACATTGCCCATATCTGGGGAAAACTAAGAGAGATTGATTGGCTGCCTTAATGAACATAGGCACCAAGGTTTTAGTCAATGTGAACCTATACCTTGATGCCCCCAAACCCAAGCTTCTTAACCCTGATGATTGGGCTCCCAGGTCTTGCCCCCCCCAGGTCGCTCCCCTCATCCTTACACACTATGTTGGTAGGGGATAGTGGAATTTGTAGTCATAGTGGAGGGTGCCCAAGTTAGAAAGACAGCTCACAATGAGGAGCTGTCAAGTTGATATGTTTTTATGTGACTCACTCTCATTCTTTTAACATTAAGGCTATTCATTGCAAAACTTTTTAAAATCTCTGTATTTAATGGGATTTTTAAATCACTGCTTTTTAATGTATTACTGGTTGTTACTGTTTTTTGTTTGCTACCTTGGGAGTCCCAGCAAACAAGCAGGATAAAAAAATGTTGGCAATAAAGAAATGTACAAAGAAGGGGAAAGTGTGAATTTCACCTCATTCACTTGAAGATACAAACCTATGATTTGCAAAAAGAAAGCAGTAAGCCACTCGTATCTTTACACAGTACCGTCCATACTAGCAGTTGACAAATGAGAGGCCTGCCAGATGCTTGGGACTACAGTTCCCAGTGTCCTTAACAGCTGACCATACTGGCTTGTGCTTCTGGAAATGGCAGACTTACTGCACCAGGAGGGCAAGAAAGTAGGAAAAGTTGGGGGCGTGACCAAACAGAAATTTACCCTAGGTTCATGTGAATTTCTCTGTATCTCTTCCTGGCTTTTAAATCATGCCAAGGTTCACACAACAGTGTTCAGTTATCTCGGGAAGGTGTGTTCCATGTGCCCATGCATCACATAACTCCCCCACTTCTCCCTCACCCTCTTCTGCCATTATCACTACCCTCTTACCCACACTTGTTGCAAGCATTCAAGAGCAATCGTGCAAACTGTGAGAGGTATTTTTGCAGCAGTATTTGCAGAGCTGGTCACACAATCATGTGCCCAGTTGTGTCACTTATAGTGAATGAATTGGGAAAACTGCTTGCAAAATTGAACTTGTGCACACCGTTCTCTTTAATAAAATTCTGGCCCCCGAAGTTACCGTATTTTTTGCTCCATGAGACGCACTCCCCCCCCAAATGTGGGGGGGCAAGTCTGTGCATCTTATGGAACGAAGGCAGCGATTTTGCCCCCGCTGGCCCTGTGGGGGGGGAGTGTCGCAAGGGTCCGAGTGAGCCTTCCTGGACACTTGTGCCGCTCCCCCACCCCCCCACGAGGCCAGCGCAGGTGAAATTGCCAGCTTCCAGGTGGGGGAGCGTCGCAAGGGTCCAGGAAGGCTCACTTGGACCCTTGTGCTGCTCCCCCC